GATGTCAGAGCAGCCTCTGCCTGAAGCAGGCCAGGGATCACCACAGGCGGGGCTGTTCTAGCATCCTGGATGGACAGCCCCGCCTGGGATGCTCAAGATCAAGTCACATTCTAAATTCTTGGGCTGGGCTGCCTGGTCTCACATTTGACCTCACAATGCCCAGCATTCTATTCCTGATTCTTTATCATTCAGTTTTTGCCCTGGCCATTCTACCAACACAATACTCTCTAGAATTATTGATTTACATGTAGCTAATTCCCAAAAATCTCACTTCTTTCGTTTTAATCTTCCTTGACCTAATGGCTCCTTTTGAAACTGTGAAGCCCTAAAATATCTATCACATTGGCACATATGTTTTTTTCTGATGGGATCTCCAATGGGCTTCTTCCAACTTATCTAATACATCTTTCACATCATACTAATATAATAATCTTCCTGTCCTACATTCTCTCTCAGCTGGTGTCCCCAAGGGATCTATTCTTAATCTCCTACTCGTCTTTATAGTCTGCCTTCTGAAAAAAGTCATCTCAGATCACAATTGACAATATCCGTTGCAACATTTCTCCTTTCCTTCCTTTTCTTCTGCAATCTCTCATTCAGGCTTGTCTCCATTTCCATAAAATGGAATAAGCTAAATATTCAAATTACAAAGAAAACAGCACTCCAATACAAAACATCCCACACTACCTCAAATGTGTTTCTACAATGTAGTGAATAAATAGCAAAATACATAATAAATAGAACTGATAATTAAAACAAGATATAGCTGGGGTTTAAAAAAAAGTGTCTTCCTCAAAGCAAACATACCTATATCCTATAGGAAAAAATTTCATATTTGTTATAGCTTGAAGTCATGAACAGGAGGAAACAAACCACCACATAATATTGCCAATGGATGTCACTTATTTCATACTAGTAATTGCTGGATTCAGAGCAATTAACAGATGAGTCATTGGGGAGACTTGGCTCTGACAAGACAGTTTTGCACACAAACATTAATGATAACTTTATTAGCATGAGTGAAATGCCTAGAGGCTTGATCAGGATAAGGAGCCTATTGTGAGGAAGCTGTACAAACACACAGTAGAAGGACACAAATGGCATTCTCTCCATTGACTTCAATTAACATGGTTCAGCTCTCCGAAGAGTGCACAATCTCATTTTATGCTAAACATTTCTGTTTACTCACACAATAGTCTTTATTTCAAGATATTATTGGACTGGAAAAGTTACCAAAGAAAAAGCAATTTTTACCTGTAGCAGCACTCAGGATATTAGAGAAGGTAGGTGATTGCTGTTATTGGACCAACTTCTGTTGGTAAGAGGGACAAGTTTTTGAGGTATATTGAGATCTTCTTCTGGTCTTGAAAAGGTGAGAATCATAGCTGGATACAAGGTGGAACAGATTGTTTAGCATATGTAGATAGCACATATTCTAAGGGACCATTCAAGATGGAGTGCCTGAAAAAACTGAAGAGCTGTGGTATGGAACCTACTGTTCAAATCAGTTTCTAAGTCTATCAAATGACTAGAGAATAGCCAATGTAATACTGATTTTTAAAATACGCTTCAGAGGCAATCTTGCCAATTACCGCCAGTAAGCCTACCTTCAGTACTAGGCAAATTGGTTGAAACCACAGTAAAGAACAGAATTTTTAAACATAGATAAATGCAATATGTTCAGGAAGAGTCAAGTTGAATTTTGTAAAGGGACATCATGCCTCACCAATATATTAGAATTCTCTGAGACAGTCAACAAATAAGGACAAAGATGATCCAATGAATATAGTGAATGTTCCGAAAGCCTTTGACAAGGTCTCACACCAAAGGCTCTGAAGAACGATCAGTCACCATGAAGTAAGAGGAAAGGTCCTTTCATGGATAAGCTGGTTAAAAGTTAGGAAACAAAAGGCAGGAATAAATGGTCAGTTTTTACAATGGAAAGAAGTAAATAGCAGGGACCTGCAAGGATCTGTAATGAGACCAGTACTATTCAATATATTCATAAGTGATCTTGAAAAGAGGGTATAAACAATGAAGTGGTAAAATCTGCAGATGATATTAAATTACTCAAGTCAAGACAACTATGTCCTAAGCTGACTGCAAAGAGCTAAAAAGAGATCTTATAAAACTGGGTGATTGGCAACAAAATGGCAGATGAATTCAATGTTGATAAATGCAAAGTAATGCATACTGGAAAACAAAATCCCAACTACACATACAAAATGATAGGGTCTAAATTATTTGTTACCACTCAAGAAAGATCTTGGAGTGATTATGGATAGTTCTGTGACAAAATCCACTTAATATGTGGCAGTGAAAAAAGCTAACAGAATGTTAGGGGCCATTATGAGAGCGATAGATAATACAGAAAGTATCAATCTATAAACCTTAAATACCCGTGCAACAATAATTACACACATCTTTAAAAGGATGTATCAGAATTGGAAAAAGTACAGAGAGGGACAACAAAAATTATTAGGGTTGTGGAACAGCAAAAGAATGGGATTGTTCAGCTTGGAAAAAGAGATGACTCATGGGACATATAATAAAGAACTATAAAATCATGAATGGTGTGAAGAAACTGAATAGGTAAAGTGTTTCCCTTTCACATAATACAAGAACAAGGGGTCAACCCAAGAAGTTAATAGGCAAAAAACAGGTTTAAAACAAACATAAGTAGTTCTTCATGCACACAACCTGTTGAAACACCTCACCAGAGGATGTTGTGAAAGTCAAAAATGAAACTCAGTTCAAAAAAGAACTGGGTAAGTTCCTGAAGGATGGGTCTATCAATGGCTGTAAGCTAGGATTACCAGGAACAAGTCTAATTGCCAGAAGTTGGGACTGGTTGACATGGGATGAATCACTCTGGGCTTGCCACTGTCTCAATTCCTTTAAAGATACTGGGCTAGATAGACCACTGGCCTGACCCTGTGTAACACTCTTAGGGTCTATAGCCTCCCAAGATGCACATGTGACTGCAGGCACCTAGCACAGGGTGCAGTGGGATAGAAAGATCAAGCAATTCAGCTAAAGGTTTGGATCCCTTTCCTGAAAGTATTTAATTATTTCAGGCACACCTGACTCTCAGTGGGATGACTGAAGAAATGGTGACTACTCAGGTGAACAAGGGCTGGCAGCATCAGGCCCTGAGGACAGAAAGTCATTCAGGCTCAGTCTCCAGGGCCTTAAGCAGTGGGTACTGAGTCCATGGCGCAGGAGCACAAGACCCAGTGCTACTATCCCCTCCAACTCGCACACAGAGCCAGGTTTCTGCAGGAATTGTTCCCCAGGCCTGGTCCCCTGAGGTAGCAAGGATTAGGGCCTGGGCCTTGCACACCAAGAGCCCTGCAGCAAAGGCAGCACTTACAGCTGGTGTGGAGGTGCCTTCTTCCTGCGGCGTATGCTGTCCTCTGGGATCTGGCGCATAGTGCCTGGTGGGAGAGGAAGAATGGTCCAGTGAGAGGGGGTGCAGTAGGCAGGGACAGGAGGTGAGCAGTGAGAAATGGGTGGGGTGCAGCACCTAAGGGTTGGAGTGTGAGGGGAGAAACGGGAGGAGTGGGGGTGCAGCAGGCATAGAGGTTGCTCAGAGAGCAACAGGAAGAGTGGTGGCAAGTGAGATGCAGCAGGCAGGGGTAAGAGGTGCGCAGGGAGGGGCAGGAGGGCTAGAGGAGTACCAGGGCAGGTGGGGTGCAGCAGGAAGGGATGGGAAGTATGTGAGGAGAAGCGGGAGGACTGGGGGTGCAATGGGACAGGAGGTGCCGCTGACACAGGGGCTGCTTGGAGAGAAGCAGGAGTGGGTGGCAATGGGGGGGTGTAGCAGAGAAGAATGCAGAGGCTGGAAAGAAGCAGGTAGGTGGGAGTGCAGCAGGCAGGGGTGGAA